GTCACTTCATTACCCGGTGGAAGTGGTGATGGGAAAATTACTGTGCATAAACTTGTTCAATTTAGTTGTGTCCCTGTATCGGAGTTCACACAACGCCGTGTATTTGTGGACTAGGCACAGTCGCACTCTCGTACGCTTGCTCGAACTTAACCGTTTAAACAAGATAGGCGCTAGCAAGGCGAGGTGGAGTGAACACGGATTAGTCGAAGAGACGCACTGATACGCGTTGAGAGCGAGAGAGAGGGGATAGGCCTGAATAACTATGACTCATTACACCTCCGTTTTCGAAGTATCATACTGCCAAGGTATCGCAGTTTTTAAGAACGTGAAAGTCCGACCCCTTCAAAGACACCACAAATTCGTAAAAATTAAGTATTATTTTTGGTAATATTGCAGAACTGGGACGAAGACACGCTTCATCGCCTTCTCGACTTACAATGTGCCACAAATAGTGGGTGTGGTGGACCGAATTTCTTTGAAAATCTTCCCTTCGTTGATCGTGGCAGTTTGCCGGACCCTGAGGAGCTATATTTTGCCGAGGAGACCCGTCTACACAGGAGTACAACACCGGATTTTGAGGAAATCGCAGCAAGCACGGTGGAGGACGCACCTTTGCCGAAGGAAGAACTCGTAGGCAGTTCTGGCGATGAGGAGGCTGTTCTTGCTGAAGAGGACCCGGTGGACGAGGAGGAGGCGGTGGTGGCGGCGGAGGAAGTTGAACCGGACCAGGCCTTTTCCGCCGAACCCTCAACATGGCACAGAGGCTGTCCGGCAGAGCAACTCTGGGCAGCGCACAGCGACGTGCTGAGGACACCGGCTGCCTACTCCGCCATGATTTGTGGAGCTGCGCGATTTGGCGGCGCTGACAGAGCCTGGGAGCTGGCAGAAGAAGCGGGCTCCATGGCACTGTCCCTCGCTGCCTACAACGACCTCCTGCGTTGTGCACACGCTTGCTCCGATGCTCGTGACAACGCCTGGCCCCGCGTTCTCCGTGGTTTCAAGCTCCTGCGCGCGTCGAAGTTAGCTCCCAATGCACAGACCTTCGCCTCTGCTCTCTACACACTTTCTCAAAATTGCCTGAAACAACTCAATCAGGGCGAAACTCCGGCCGATTACGCCGACAAGGCGCTGGGCTTGGTTGACGAGGCCAGACGCCTCGGGATCCAGCCCACTATGGGTGTGTACGCGAACCTCCTGCGCACCGTCTTGAACTCGCGTGTCCGTCGATCCACTCTGGCTTACCGCATGAACGACCTCTTGGCCGACGTCTTGAACGACCTGGAAACGCGGTGGAAGGCCAACAACCCACCGCCTCCGTGCCGCGCGGACGTCTTCACGTTGGACGACTACGACTTCGCGGGCGCAGCGATGTTCTGCGCCACCCTCGACGACTCGCCGCTGTACATCCAACTCGCCCAACGCGTCTACGACCTCTTCCACAAAGACGGCGACCGGCGCTTCCTGTTTCGCAGCAGTCTGGAGGCGAGGAGGTTCTACATGCGCTACCTGTACGCCAAGTTGCGTGCCCCCGGGCCATCGGATCAGTCGGAGGTAGACGTGGTGAAGGCCACTCAGACGCTGTACCACCAACACCGCCAGGTCGTCCTGTCAAACCAGCGCACCCGTTTGGCGATAATCAAGAAGCTGAAGTCCGCCAATTCCACTTGGGCTGACCTCTTCGCCAAGGCCAGGGAGGGTCAATCGCTGGATGCGGCGCAGCTCAGCGACGCGCAAGCTGCGAATTCATTGGCTCTCACGACGCTTGCTGATATCATTTTCGATTATATCGCGATGGCTGCTAGACTCCCACCGCGACTGCCCATGTCCATCTCGAATGCACTTCTGACGTTCTCATTTATTGGTAGGTGTGTGTGTGTGTGCACGCGTGTTTAAATTCGCGCGCGCGCTCTTTCAACAAGAAGTGTTTGTTTAAACGCACTCTCGGAACACATTTTAGACCCCTGGCCGCAAGTGAGCATTCTCGGACAGGCTCCGCTGCGCGCCATCTCCGAGGAGGGCGCGAAAAGTGCCAGTTTGACGGCTAAAGCCTTCTGTGAGGTGATTAGTTTGCAGGAGCCCCGGATATCGCCTGTGCAGTTCCCAGTCTCGTCGCCCGAACTCACCTCCATCATCCGCATGTCGCTCTTCATCACGGCATTCAACGCCTCCGAGGCGCAGACTGTGTCCCAACGCGAGGCCAACGATCAGGCTCACTCGAATGCCATGGACCTGCTTTTGGCCGGCCAACGACACGGCAAGTTTACGGACGTGGGTGCAACCGAGATTCTGAGGAGTTGTTGGTACACCAGTGGCAAACAATTGACGTACGTTTACTGAACGCATTTTGCTACTTATTTGTTTACAGTAGTCACTATTTTCTTGTCTCACACTAGTCCTCGAGTCTGGAACCTCCTGGAGTACCTGTCGGGAATGAAGTACCTCACTAGTCGATTCCTTCAACACCCCTTCCTCGGCGAATTAATGCAGATCCTTGATGTCGCAGAACAAAGTCTACGACTCCCAAGTGCAGCGTCTGCCTACTCACAACAAACCGATTCGAGAATGGTGTCGGGACGAACTGAGACGGATGCAGAGACATTCAATCGCCTTCAGGTGATAATTGCGCTTCGTCGGAAGATTAGCGACTCGCAACTAGACAAAGCTCCCCAAACGTGACCACCTTCTTTCATATTTTGTAAAATAAAATTGTATTTTAGTACCGTGCCACACTCCGGATGACTTGGCTACTTCTGAATTTGTGATATGTTAACCGTGGCGGTAAAACATTCTGTGTTGAACATGAAATGCCGGTCACTGATTTAGCATGTGATTCTGCATTTTGTGCAAATAACACCTGTTCTCTGATGGGTGTGGAATTGCAGTAGCAAAGAGTCTGTAATACCTGGTATTCCACGGGTTTAACTGCCGTGTGTTGAAGGTCAACATTACTGCAACATGGCACAGCTAATGGACTGCTGAAACGTGTTTCCGAGTTATCAGGAGGTTCGCTGCGAAATTCTTTGTGATAGAGAAATCGAAAAGAGCCACATTGTGCGCATGCTCGGGTGTTTTAAGCGAAGCGGCAATAACCTACATGTAGCGGATACCCCTACTGCATCTCACTCCAATTATTTCTGCAATGCCATGACGATTTGTGCAAATAGCACGTCTAACTGTCCCAAGGTGGCTGATTCATGCTTTGCTGATACTCTCTTTTGAATTCGTCGGTTACTAAATGTCTCAATATTTAGGGAGTGCGTGTCTGCAAACTGTACACAAAATCCAGGTTAATATCCTACTTCATTGATCCGATTCCAAACACAGTAACGTAGTTCCTCAGTAGAGCGACTACCGCATGGTTTCGTAAAGACGGTTCTTGGTCCTAAGCGCTCCGACTGTCTATTTCAATTAATCGTGAAGCATTACCGGTGGCCATGCTACCGTAAACCTGACCTGTGACATCTGAGCACAATAAACTCAAGCACGCAGACGCATTTGTGGAAGGCGAATTGCATCACCAGAGCGGGATAAATGAACTCCCAACCAGAAGTGGCGCTTTTAAGGATTCAGACTAAGCCAGAATTCACCCCCTGGTCGATGGCGTAACCAGTGTGACAAAATGAAGTGAATACCGCCGAAGTCCTCAATTTCCTTACGCTGGGATGTCGGAGCAGCCTAGAAGTGCACTATTGCTTACAATTCGTGGCCGTTATGGCGGATTTCTAATACCAAAGCAGACCGCGATTCGCTAGTGCGAAATGGCGCCACAGCCAGCGCGTCAGAAGGCATACTCCAGTGGTCACTGTGGAAAACTACTGACTTCACATATAAAAACCAAGCTGATGGGCGCGGCCAGATTCAACCACGACTGATTTTAGGGGACCTTAGTCTTGGGCAATACGCTCATAATGCATAGACGCTCACGGGTAAAGCTCTTTCACAAATATAACCAGTAAGGCCGAATTACGTTCAGCTATTTCGACAAGCAATTAATGCAAAACCAATAGTTTGTCCTCATCAATTCCTCAGCTTGCGATTAAATTGCGAAAAAAACGAAACGAATAAGTAGTCTTGGCAAGAATGAGTGTTGAACAAATAACCGGGAGGTGTGCAAGCACAATAACTTTACATAAACGCAATTTATTGTTGAAATATAAAATCTTATTTTATAATGTGCTGATTCAAAAGCTTTGATATGCCAAACATTCTAAATCGGCTCTTTCCAAACAGCTTCTTCCACCCGTCGTCACAAATTACGAACTGTTTGTTTTCAGGATCCTGAACAAGAGTAGAATGAGTAAAAGAAAACCTTACAAATAACTGCTTTTCTTTGGCTTCTTTCCAAAAGCGTTTGACTAGTTCGGCCCGGGAAAGAGCAGGTTCACCGAGATACGCTGCCATTTCGTCGGAGAGGGTAACCGGTTTCGTGAATCCACCTCCCTTGCCGGTGCTCTTTGGTGTACGCTGCTGTCCTGACTTGGCTACAGAAACAGTAAGAGGTATGAAAGTTACAAGCAACTTTGCGGCGTCTCATGCCATTTTCTTCAGCTTGCAGACTTCGCGCATAGTTGTCGTCTGACGACACTTTCCTCTTTTTGGAAGAAAACGAGTCCTCAACCGGGTTATCCAAATCGTCATCCGATTCAGACTCATCTATCGATTAGATAGGGCTGAAAGAGGTGTACCGGACGAGGCAGGGGCTTTTTCTTCCCTTGTTTCCAAGACCTTCATTATCATTTTGTCGATACTCGATTTTCGATCGTATAAGTCAATGTTAAATCGATCCTCTAGAGTCTTCCGGACCGTTTTTGCGGTGACCACGGATAGATCGGCATCCTTAAGTATTTCTAGAAGAGAATTTTAGAAAAAGTATAGGAAAATACGAACCTTTAATCGCCGAATGCAACTGACTGTCAGTAGGTTCTGCCATTTTAAATAAGTCCTTTAAATGGGAAGTTACTTAAACACAGAATGAACTCATGATCATTTAGCTGAGCAAATTTATGCCAAACTTTTGATCGTAAAATTATTCATTAGTCATAAATAATAAGTTTTTTTGATAGTGACCATAACAGGCTTGACTAAAGTGAACTGGATATAGTCGTTCGCAACATGCGGATACTTATTTCGTCTTGCTGCACATGCGTACTTTCTATATTGATTTCTTTGTTTCCAGTGAAGTTGGCTTTCTTCCTTTATGACTAAAAATGCATTTTTAATGCACATTTGCACTTGCCCATGACACATTCTAGCTTTAGATGGCAGTAAACTATTTTGATTTTTCCATTCCCGGCGTAATGCATTGACTAGATTTCTTTAAAAGAGCACGATGTATAAGAAATTTTTTCTTCTTGCAATAAGGTTGCTTCAATTCTTTAATCACCTTTGTGCATTTACTCAGTTCTGCGCATCAATTAACCGTTTCAAATATCGATAAGAACCTTTGATTGCTAATTTGATTTTTTTTCTAAAACTGTACCGCATTCTGTCGTACAGAATGAATTACGATTCGCAGTTTTTTGGCCGTTTTTTTTCTGGAGGTTTTATAAGAAACAGTTGCAAGCCTCAATTTAATGGAATATTTTTATATTCTCGATTTCACTCCAGCTCACCTGTTCTACCCACCAATTGATTTGCTAACTGGTTTCAGAAGGACTAATAGTTGAATTTGTAGCTATAATGAAAAGGTTTTACTGACTAGTATTCTTAGAATAAAATTAAAATTGTTGATGTTTGTTGCCTCTTGCCCCATACCTGACAATATTTAATCGAGTGAACTGTGTCTACTCATTAGACAATAACCATTGCCACAATAAAACGCTTAGGGCATTTCATAAGTTCTTTTTATTAAAAAAATAAATAACATTGTAATAAGCGAATGCTTTGTGTTGCATTTTCGTACACAATTACAAAATTCATACATGGTTTTTTGCTTGTACCGATTTAGCGCCGGACTTTAATATTTTGATCTTAAGACCAAACTCAGTAAACGTTTGATCGTAAAGGACTGCACTTCTTGCGTAGTTGTGTGCAAATAAATACTGGGACTTATATAGAGAAAATGACTAAGCCCTGTTGCAGTTTTTCAGCAGATGGATGCAAATCCTCAGTCACAAATCAATGCATTTTGAAAACAACACAAAGACATGAAATCGTTCGGCGAGATTTATTGTCTGAGCCAAAAGTCCAAAAACCAAGTACACAATGCGATACTCTCGCTTCTAAATACCTGGTGAACAGTAGGTCGGTGAGTTGCGAGTTGTTAACACTGAGAAAAGAGCTGTCGGCGTACATATTGATGTAATGGGACAGTATTATTTTGAATCGCGTTGATTCACACTCGCTAATCCGATCACTCCGGCCTTCGACACAGGGTCTCCCTTTTTGCAGCATGTCACCAGCCGCGGAAATCCTCAACTTCCCCTCATTTGCAAGAATATTTATCATGGATTATCTTCACACCTGGGTCTTGATGTTAGCGCATCTATGACTCACACATCCGAGGTGTAAATTTAGACGCGCAAACGCCACACATGATACAACGACACCAACATGGTTGAGCTCTGAAGTAAACGATTGTGTCCACATCCTATCTTGTCTTGTTCTTCACCGCGGGGATCAGGGAAGCGTAATTGGGCCAGGATTAATTCCCACAACAGACTTCTCAATAGAGTCGATCATTTTGGCAGCGTTAAGTTTTGCCTGCACCTCCTACAATTTTGGAGTAAGCAAACTTGGAAAGTATCATTCATCAAAATAATTTATTTACACTCGATGTCAGAAATATCTGAGAAGACAATTTCGGGGATGCGCGAGAAGAGGCAGCGCATCCAAGGTGGCCTTTCATGGATGATTTAATAGAGCAACTTTGCGGGAACCCATTGCGGCTTCTCCAGTAGACCGTCCAGCAGTTCTTTCAGTCGGACAAAGGTCACCTCGATGTTGTCGCAGATGACAATCTTGTCGATAACGTGCCGGTAATTTCGTTCGATGTCCTGGCTGCACTCAAGTGTCCTGCGAAAGTCGTCGTCCTACGTAGGGAAAACATTGTGTGCACGTCTAGTAGAATTAACAACCACTACTTCCAAGTCTCACCTCTGCGTCCGGGACTTCGGTAGCAATACGAACCTGTCTACAGAAACGGCAGGCATACACCCGAGGTGTAAATTCAGACGCGCAAACGCCACACATGACACAACGACACCAGCTCTGAAGTAAACGATTGTGTCCACGTCCTCTCCAATCGTTTTCTTCATCGTGGGTATTAGGTAAGCGTAATCGGGCCAGAATTAACTCAGTGGCCCCGGCATGGTTCAAGACCACATGATGGGGCCCACGACATTTGGTGACCCCGACGTGATGAAGGGTTTTCCAAATCTCACAACAGTAGTAGTTGCGTGAAAGTTCAATCACATTTTTTTAAGTTTTCATGGGGATTGGTTACATTCCCAAAACCTCTTCTCATTGAAGAAGTTAATAGTGCTTTCTCCTGGGTCGCCTTAGAGTAGTATCCTTTGTCAGCGTCTGGGACTACCCTTTTGTCCTCTTCAGACATCCTTTGGCGTCAGTTGTTGGAATATATCAAAGAGTGAATCCTGCCTAACGTTTATCTTTCGATTCTGTATCTCATTACTAGATTCATCGGAGTTAGTTTTGCAGCCCTAACCACACATTGTAACCCACCCCCACTTCAACCAGGATCTTACCGATCATTCGCATAATCGATGGGTCAAGTTCTGTTTGGTAGTCCCAAGTGTTCACGGGGGGTTCCAATCTCGCATGAAGTGGATGTTCCAGGAGTTCGGATGTTGCTAAAGACTGGTCAAACACTTCTTGTGACTTGAGTTGAAGTGGTTTTTCTTGCTGTTATATGATATATTAATTTTATTATTGCGGTGTCCGCATTTCGGGCGATGCTACCACACACAATATTATTTGCAGCAATTTAAACGGAGTTTGTGTTGACTAACGCCTTGCTATGGGCCCCAGCATGTGGTCTTGAACCACGCTGGGGCCACGGAATTAACCCTGGCCCGATTACGCTTACCTAATACCCACGATGACGAAAACGATCGGAGAGAACGTGGACACGACCGTTTACTCCAGAGCTCAACCACGTTGGTGTCGTTGTGTCGTGTGTGGGGTTTGCGCGTCTGAATTTACATCTCGGATGTGTGTGTCATAGGTGTGCTACCGTCGAGACCTAGGTGTGAGGATAATCCAAGATAAATATTAGTGCGAATGAGGTGGGAGTTGAGGGGGTCCGCGCTGCTGACGACATGGGGGGTGTGAATAAACACGAGTCACAACAACCTCTTA